TTCATCGGATGAACTGTGTTCTCATTTTTCACCCTTATTCTATAAAAAAAATAAACACTGTGCCTGTGCTCAAGGCGCAGGGTAGCCAATAATTTGTTACGCTAAGACAATGCGATTTACCATCTAGGGCTACATCGCCACTTACCACCAGGTGGGATTGTGATCAAGCACTGGCTTACAATAAGTGAAAAAAAGCTTCTTATCACGTCTCTAGACAGTATATTTGTCAAAAAGGCTTACATTAAATAAACTATGTCTCTAGATTTGCTGACTGTAAGATCCTGTAAAACACCAAAAGTCTTACCACTTTGCCAGACTTTCGATGTTTTACTAATGAACCACCTTAACACGCCCTTTCATTGAGTTCTTTAGCGATGGTATTTAGCAGCACCAATACATATATGGCAGCAATACTTCATGCATAACCGGCTTTGCACTTTATATAGTGTATAAGCAACTGCCTGGCGTGAAGTATCGCCACACCTTAGCAAAGAAACCTAACTTCCTTGTATATATGCTTTGGCTCTAGCCTCAGTAAGCCACCCAAAGTTCGGTTTCGAGGAAATTTGTTTACGCATGTGAAGCTTGTACACTCACCGTAAAAGAAGGAAATAATCTTGAGGCGCTCGATGTGCTCAACTGGTACGACGTGTCACAGAGGCGTGAAAAGTGGTATAGTCTGTTATCGAAGGTTAAGACCCCCTTCCGGTCCCTGCACCGGTGCTGGGCAGTTATTACTAATAAAAAATTTAACAATCAGAATAAGTACATAACACCTTACTGTAAGGTACTCAATTTAAGCACAGTGAAAAATGGTGCGTTTTAATCTACCGACACCATCAATTAGCCGTAAGGCTAAAGTAGTTTTTTTTTATAGGATAGGGTGACAAACGAGCACACAGTCCACCTGATGGTAAGTGGTTCTTGTTACCCATAGACATCTACATCTATCCTCAATAAAGAATAAAAATGCAGATGTGTTGTCACCCGTAAGGATTAAGATAAGAATAACACTTTTCCAGTAAATCCGCATTGCAAACATATAACACATCTGCGTTTTCATTGAGGGTTAAAAATAGAAACAAATTAATGTTCTAAGTATAGTATGCAAACTACGGTATTTTTGGTTAGTCCAGTAGTGGGCCTAAAAATTCTAACGACAATGATGATTAAAATAATATAAAATTTCAAAGGAAACAAACACAAAACATTTAAAAGTTATCCTACAAAATACCATTGCTGTGTCAAAATTTTATTCATTTTGGACAATATGCAAATTTATTTTAACTAAACCGGTTGCATTAACGGGTAGTTTCTTTTTCTCTTTTTTGCGTAATGTATTAAGAGGTAATGATAAATTTATTAGAAATAATTTAACATATCATATGACCCGAAGTTTTAGGGTTCAAAATCTAAAGCAAGAAATAATTGCAATAAATTTCGTATACGTTGGCATTTTCATTTGGCCGTTTTTATACGAATATGTTCTTGATAAAACATTCGAAATGAAAAAAAAACAAAAACTGACGAAAGCATATTGTGAGTATAGCCGCTGATATCAGCGTGATTATTATGAATGGTGATGTCTCGGACATTTTTGATCAAGGTAATATCGATCAAATAATATCCACCGGTGATATAACAGGTGATCGTCAAGAAGTATTCATCTACGCAGAACATGTTATAGTCCCTTGAAAAAGTGAACCAGAAAGTAAGTAATATTATCCCGCGGGTGTCGTGAGTGGCGACAGAAGGATATGAAACAGGAGGTGGTTCAGCAGCATCTTCCTGATTAACTCAAAATAATTCAAAACTGCAGTTGCGAACCCAAATGCTAAGTAAGATGGTTGGCGTGGCAAATATTCCCCCTATAAGGCAATCGAAGGGGAGGCCTATGTTCAGTATGGGAATTTTGGATAGGCTGTAATTGATGAATGAATGAATGAAAGAACATGGTTTGGAAGCTCATTCGTTTTGTTCTGAGTTACAGCTTTGAGTATATTTAAGTGTTGCTTCTTAATTTCCTATATGCTTTATAATAATTATCTATCTAGTTCTTAGTTATTTTAATGGATGCTCACATTAGAAATCGTAGGGATAGGAAACTTGACTGCTTGAAAGTGGTTTTCTCGCCCTATCACATACAGAAATTTGAAAATTTGTACAATGTGAAAATTCAAATTTCCATAAAGTAGAATTCACCATGGCATCAAATTTTTTTACCGATTTTAGTCTGCAGATGTCGAAATTTCCAAAACAGAAACAATGAAATCAAAAACTTACCGTTCATCCGTTTGTGGTGCCTGCAGTGCGTTTATGTAGTATTTTATAAGTGGTAGAGCGATGCTGCAGCTTTATTAATAGTATAGTTGTAGCACGAATGGGTCGGCTCGACCGGGGAAAGATCACGCTCTCACAGAATACCAGCAGAAAATAGCAGCTTAATGCTGCTTTGTTTCGTTTGGTGAGTGCAGAGACCCGGAGACCCTTTTCACTGGAAAAGAGGCATTCCATCTTAGTCCCCACGGCCGACAACGCATCGGCATTTCATTCGCAAACGAGGATAGATGTAGATGTCTATGGGCCACAGCAACTACTTACCATCAGAGGGACTCTATGCACGCTTGTCACCCTTATCCTATAAAGAAATTCTGGGATAATCGTAATTTTTTACCACAATACCACCTGGTAGTAAGTGGTGGTTGCAGCCTTAGATGATAAATCGCACTGTCTTATCGTAACAAAACCTATTCACTCTTGCCTTGAATACGTAAATAAAACGCCCGTAAATTATTCCACTCCTTTGCTGTACGCATTACAAAAAACAAAGCAAACCGTTTGGTTCTAATGCGTGGAATATCTACAGCAAAGGGATGAAGACCCGCCGACCGCCTGGTTGTCCGATGGTGGAAAGGAGAAGGAGGAATAAAAGCGTGTAATTCCTGCACGCACTCACCGAAATGTATCCTATAGAATACCAAGAGACTGGCTACTCTGCGCCTGTGCTCAAGGCTGACAAAATTGGTTTCAACCAAATCAAGGTCACTAATGAGCCTCTTAGCACGTCTCTCCACTGATTCCAATGCTGCCAGGTGGCATTTTGTAGCACCAGCCCATATGTGACAGCAGTACTCCATGCACGACCGGACTTGCGCTTTATATAAGGTAAGAAGCTGCCCCGGCGTGAAGTACCGCCGCACCCTTGCAAGGACACCAAGTTTCCTTGCGGCTGCTTTGGCTCTGGCTATATTATTTTCGGTTACAATATATTATCATAACGAAAAAATATAACGCAGTTGTGGAGTGTGTTCCCGCTTGCAAATGGTTTCTAGAGTTACACAATCGAACTACTGGTCGATACAGGTCATTGATATAGCAGGCCGAGTGGACAAAACTAATATTCGATAATAACGCAAATTTTCAGCATTTTTTATGGTCACTGACACAGTGATATGAAATAAAATAAAATATAATATAAAACATCAATTTGAATTTATTGTTAAAGAGCGTCAATTTGGTAGAGGTTAATTCATCACTTTCGAATCAAGCTAATAGAAATTGGACCATTTTGGTAAATGTTGTCTTTAGATAAATTCAAAACGCAAACACGATGGCAACAGCTAATTATTCAAAATCGTGGACTAGATACAAATTTGATGACGTTTCGAAAACTCATCGTGAGTATAAAACTGATATTTTTGATTCGTTTTGCACAGACGTTCCCCGGCGTCCTCCAAAGCCACTTGTATATAAACACCATGAATTCTTCAGTAAGTAAATTTATTAAAAATATTTTAAAGCATCCTAACTGTAATAAATAAATTATTTTGAGCTTACTTAAAATCTAACCGCACACTTTAAGGGGAAGATAGGGGAACAATTAAAAGTCAGAGGGAGTTAGGTGCCAGAACTACCCCCCGTGTACTTAATTATTGAGACACACTGACGTGAAGTTTCTGAAACTTCAAAAGTACATGGTTATATTACTTGAATATTTTAAAATTTGGATTTTCACCGTTTCAACTCAGAACTGCCACTACTGTCTTCTACTACTACTTTCGCTCTTGCTTAATTAATCTCAAATACCCTTGCTCGCCTGTAACGCTTTGTCCATTTAGTTCTCTAAATATGACTTTTTTGTACTTCGATTTATCCTAATTCTGATTAAGTTCTATTTAACAGTTGTGTAACGGAATCTGTTTAACACATGAATAATATTTACACCGATTGACAGCCAAAAAATTGTAAATATCTTCTTGCTTAATAAAATTGCCTGGTTTATACCCTTTATAACAAGTATTTTAATAATTAAAATCTGACCATGTAGTCTTGCTGATTGTTATAATTTTTGGGTAAATTATTACACATATCGATATGTGAAAGACAAAATGATTTAAGAGATTTTTTTAGAAATTTGCAGGTGAGAAGTTTCAAGTTTACGATTTTAGAAAACAATTTTTAAAAACCGGTTGATTATTGGCACAAAAGTGCTAACTGTGATTTTGGTTTCTGATGCGTCATATTTTGAGATAAAAAAGAATAATAAATATAAAATAAATTAATGTTTCTTGATACAAAGTAAACTTTTTTATTTGCTGGTTAAGGTAAAATAATTTATTTACCACAGTTTCAGACACTATTTGCGAATATAATGGTTCATTTTTAATAACTGTCTTTTAGAGTTAGTCTGAATACATCTAATATCATATAAACGCAAATCTAAGCAATAATATTCAACTTAAGTGCCAAATATTAAATAAGAAGATAAAATTTATAATGACAACATAGATTCATTGTTACATCATTAAAGATCGTTTATTGCTACCCGTATCTCAGTCTTGCTAATCTTAACAATTAGGTTTTCCTTTGAAGATATCTCATAATTTTGAATACCTCAAAGCGCTTAGCGCTTTATTACTTTTACGTAGACTAAGTTTTAAGCAAACATCTCGTTTGTGTTCTTTTTAAACCAGAATACTTTAAGGAACATTCTAAATAAAATGTGGCTATGTGTTAGCTTAGAAAACCAAGTTTTAAGCGAAATTCGATTCAAATATCGACTAGTTCAGGTCAGTTTTCTTACTTGGCTCATTCTAAGATGCTTAGTTCATCTTATTTTTATGAACTTCCCAGAAATTTTGACTGGATTAAACGTCAAAAAGTGTTCAAATGTTAATTATACTCAGCGTAATTAACGCGGAAAATTTTAATATATATATAATGAGTTGGCTCAGCAATGAATTGCGGTGCCGATAGCTGCGGGTTCAAAACCCACCCTTAAATTGTACATGTTTGTCTTTGTGCAATGTATGTCTTGTCAACTGCCTTCACGAAACAGGAGAAAATCCTATTGTGTGGGGGTAAAGTTTTTTAAAAAATATATCGTAGAGGATGTCGATAAACATTTTTGCCTTTTACCGTTTTACCCGTCCAAATAAAAATACAAAAGTTGGTTCAAGACATCGAGATAAACCTATCGAAATTATTATAGTCATTTGATTAGATACATAAAAAAATTAAAAATTACAGTTGTACGAATAAAATACTTCAATTCTTTCATTTTCATTGTAGGCTTTATATTAGATTAATGGTAGAGCCATGCTGCAGCTATATTATAGTTGTAGAACGAATGGGTCGGCTCGACCGGGGAAGGACCAGAATACCAGCGTAAAATAGCAGCTTAACGCTGCTGTGTTTCGTATGGTGAGTGTAGAGAACCGGAGACCCTTTTTACTGGAAACGAGGCATTCCATCTTAGTCCTGACGGGTGACAACGCATCTGCATTTTGATTCGTAATACATATTACAGACATATACATATAAATGTAGATGTCTATGGGCCACAGCAACCACTTACCATCAGGTGGACTGTGTGCTCGTTTATCACCCTTATCCTATAAAAAAAAATTAGAATGAAATGTGTGTATTTATGTATGTATGTGTTGATGTAACAGAATATTACTATTCAGTTTTCACCCAATTTCAGGCATCTGAATAATCTCAACATTTACAGATGCATTAAAAACTGATGATAATACAATAAATTCATGAATACGATGTAACTTTTCTACCATGTAGTGGCGGTGTAATCTACTACCCCATATCGTGCCGCGGGTGTCTTAGGAGGTGACAGAGCAAAAACGAAGTAGGAAAAGGGCTGAAGCGTCAACCTCATAACAACTAAAAAAAGCTGCGATTGTCAAACAGCCTGTCAAGCCTAACCACTATGGCAAAATCCCCTCTATAAGGTAACTTATGGGAAAGGCCTATGTTCAGCAGTAAACTTTTATAGGCTGTAATAGATGGATGACCATAGGATCATTATAGCTCATGAACAATACGTGTATTTTAAACTCTAATATTATATTATGTCAGGTTCATAGATGACTTTTCTCTGACTATTGTAAAATCGTCCCTTAGATTGATTATATTAAAATGATTATTTCTAAACCTATTTCTAAGCTAATAATATTTATTCGTATACTTAAATCAAAATTTAATTTTACAGATATGGTTACTGTTAGTGGTCCTAGCAATTGCGAAAGTGCAATCTATACAATTGGACCCTGGACCACAAACTAATATTGAAAATACACCAGCAAATCAAAAACCTCAAAAGAGGGATGTTGTAATTTATCTAACACCTGACCAAATTAAGGCCATACAAGGGGAGAAAGGTTATATTAATTCTCAGCAAATCGAACAGACTGAAGCTTCTGAAGAAAATCAGGAAGAATCGGAACAGGCTCAACAAGAACAAGAGGAACTGTTCCAGTTAAGGTCTCTTGAAGAAGACTCACAGGCATTAGAGGAGGAAGAAAATGATGTACCAAGATTGATACCAGTGGAAGAACCTAACTCAGAACAAGTTGAACAAGATCCTCAATTTTCATATGTATACAGACCACCTCAAGACAGGAACTTTGTACCAACTTCTGAAGATAATTACGCTTTCCTAAGATTTTTTGCCAATCCTGAAGAACAGACTGAAGAAGATCAACCTGAATCAGAAGAAAGTGAAGAAGAAAGGGAAGATAATCAGCGAGAAGCAGAATCAGGGGCTCAGTCAGAATCTCAACCAGAAGCTCCTCAACAGCAAATATTTAGGTTGGTACCCTATGAAGCTGCTACCGAGAAAAGCATCTCCACAACCACAAAGTCTCCGCAAGAAAACCTTCTTAAAGATCGCTGGCTTCGTATATTGGAACTAAATCGTTCACAGTTAAGAAAGGCATCGTCTGCACAAGAAAAAACTACTACTAACACAGAGCAATTACAAGATGAACTTGAGACTACTTTGTCTAAGTTGCGACGTTTGGCAACGAATAATAATCAAAACCAGGCAGCTAAAAATCAAGATATACGCAGAAAAAATTTATTAGAGCAACAAAAAGCTCTTATTCAAGCTGAAGCTCGTGCTAAAAATGCTCCTACTCAAAACCGTAAAAAAAACACAAATACAAAACAGAACCAAGCACTTTTAATTAAACAGGTAAAAGTTCCTACTCCCATCTTAGTGCCGATACCGGAGCCATTTGAAGTAAAAGTTCCACATCCCTTCCCTGTGCCAATTGAGATTTTCAAGCAAAGTTCTGCTCAGACAACAAAACCTAGGAAGGCGGAAGCGAAGAAACCCGCGACATCAGTCCGATCTGAAAGTGAGAAACGTGTTACGTCTCCTCAGAGACAATCAGTTCCTACTGAAAGGTCAACCGTAGTAGAGCGCCGTGAACCCGCCGATGATGAGAAAGACATTTCTGTAGAAATCCCCTCACGAAGTAAAGAAAGATTAACCATTATTCGACATGTCTGGGAAAAATAATGAATCGAACTAATTCTTTGTTGTTTTTGAATAATTTGTTGTGTGTTTTGTTGATTTGAATTTATGGTAAAGTCTGTTATTTAATATATGCTTTTATACCAAATACATATTTCATTTTCCCACATTCTCCTTAAACCCTATAGTTGTGTAAGAATATTGACAACCCCATATCGTCCCGTGGGTGTCGTAAAAGGCGACAGAGGGAAACAGCCCTGGAAATGGGCAGCAGAATCTTCCTAATAACAAGTAAAATATTAAAAACTGTGGTTGCCAATCTGCCTGCCAAGTATGGTAACTATGGCAAATATTCTCACTGTGAAGCAATGTATGTTAGACAGTGGACTTTAGACAGGCTGTAACGGTAATAGTAACGTTCTGTCTAGAAGTCTATCTTGGTCTGTCAACCGCTTATTTATTTCTACCACAGGCAGTACAATTACAGGAAGTGAGGATCAATCTCAGTCCTCGGAGGAGACAACGCATCTGTTGCTTTCTTTATTTGTAATTGGTTGCAGGTATCCATGGGCTGCAGTAGCTCTAAGTAAGCTCGGTTGTCATTTCAATGTAGTAGAACCACGCTGCTATATCATAGTTGTAGCACGAATAGATCGACTTAACCGAATTTGAAACCCGCTCTTACAGAATACCAGCGTAAAATAGCAGCTTAATGCTGATGCGTTCGTATAGTAAGTTTAGCGAACCTGAGACCCTTTTTACTGGAAGCTAAGCATTCCATCTTAGACCTCAGTTAGTGAAAAGAAATGACAGCCCATTTACATTTTGATTCGTAATCAAGAATAGATGTATATGGGTCACGGCATCCACTTGCCATTAGGTGAGCTGTGTGCTCGTTTGTCACTCTTATAAAAAAATATAAACATGTATTCTATAAACAATATAAAAAATTAAAAAAAACTTTACATTGCTAATTAGTGCTAGTCGTTTAAATGGTATAATATTTATAAAAAGTAAATACATTTACTTTATCAATAAAAATAAAAATGAAAATAATTCTCTTGATTATTGTCGACATGAATACAAAAGAAAAATTTTCACTTTGGAAAACGTTTGCTTTTTAAATTGCAAAATAATTATCTTAAGAAATCATTTTTAAAAAATGTTAAAATTTCCAAACATAAAAATGAAAAATGTTAATAAAACACTATAGCAAACAAGCTTATGCATATAATTGCCGAAAAACAATTAAAGGAGTAAAGATATTTTTGTATAATTTTTTTTTAAATTTATTTAATGATTATTATGCATCTTATAGTATATCATATTATATTATCTAAATATAAAAATCGATTGGTGTCCGTTAATTTCGCTAAAACTCAAAAAAAATATGTGTATTTGAATGGGTCCCTAGATGATTTAGATTCACATTTGGATCTGCTAAGTGGCGCTGTGCCTGTGCGAAGCCGAGGCGGATCACTAGTTGGATATAAAGAGCGGACTTAATGCCTTACGGTATTTTCTATCGTTTCAACTCAGATGATCTGATAAACTGTGGCAAGTAAAAATGTTATGTACATTTTTACTTGCCACAGTTTTCTTAAATGTGAAATCTGTGTAAAAAGTCGTGTTTATATTTTATAACATAACATAAATGGATAATATTAAAATTAAATATTTTATTATAATATACAATATTAAAAACTATAGTTAAAAAAAACTAAAACTAGTAACTTAATTATCATACAGCCCTACTCCCCACGGTATCGTCCCAAGAACGCTGGCTGCATTTCCCCGCTGAATGGCTATACTTAGCCTTTGAGCGAGAAAAGAACCAGCCCTCTTATCGCTAACAGCAACGACCAGTCACGGATGGAGTTCCTTTAGGATTTTCAATGCACGTGAACCCCACAGACCGATAGTCTCTACAGCAATGGAACAAATATGTAGTCATCCCTCAGAGACTCATATTTGCGTCACTTACTCAGTTCAGCTGCCTCTGATGCCGCCCCGGCTATAAACAAGGTACCCCTGATATGAGAGGACGCCAAAGTATCTACGCAAGTAGCATCTCACACTAGGGCTTTAACTCTCTCCCAAAGGACCAATATCATATCGTCAGGTCTCTTGCCATCGTCTCTAAATATTCCACAAGCTTCTAAAACCAAGGGAACATTTATAGAGACAAGAGCCCTTCGGATGACAACGTTCAAACGTGAAAACCTACCAGCACTTTTCTTCCATGAAAGTCCATTGCGCGCGAAACTTGTCGAGGCTGCTACCTACCACAAGGGCACTGATGGGGTTGACAAATCGCTGCTCCTAGTCGGATTCCTACGGCGATGCGCAAGCTTTCCCCATCAAGTAATGTGCCAAGATTACTTGATGGTAAAGCGTGTAACTAGTGACTAGATTCCTTAGTCGAAACAGCTAGAAGGCGTGATCTTGGTCACTATGGAAATTATGAAACAAATCTTTCTGCACGTTCTGTACTAACGAAATATCCCACTGTTCTTGTTGGTTAACTTCCAGTGGAACATTTTCCTCAGGACAGAGCGCTCGTCATGTTTGCCCTGTTACGAGTTTTCAAGAGGTATCTATATCATATAGGCAAACCGGACAGTATACTCGCAGGGACACAGGAACGTAAGTGGAAAACTGTGGCCAGAGGTGACTGGTTCATTGTTACCAGCGTTACCTCTTTTTGAGGAAAGAACGAAGCTCCAAGAAGTTCGAAGGGTTATAAATACGAACAAAAACAGTGAGAAAAATACTGAATCACTAGAATAAATTCACACTTGCTTGCCAGAGGTCCCCTTCTTGCCACATGCCATCGAGTAACTGCAGTTAATTTTGCTCGCAATCACGAAAATTGGAATGACAAAGTTTGGAGTCAATTTCTATACACAGATGAGTCCAGATTTTGCTTGAAGCCAGATAATGGAAGGATTAAATTGTATAGAAGCCCGGGAGGGAGGTACGCTCAGTGCAACCTCATTGGAAATGATCATATGGTCAGTTTCATAGCATCAGTTTTGGTATGAGGAGGTATTAGTATCGTGGCACATACGGCACTCCGCGTCATTGAGTTAGGTCACTAAAAGAGGCACGATATGTAACTGAGATTTTGGAAGAAATTGTAGTGCCATGTCCCCCTTTTATAGAAAACTACGAGTATTACTGCGGCCGTAGTTGTGGAATACCTTCGAGACGTTGAAATCAATGCTATGGGATCAATGCTATGGGACTTAAACCCCATAGAGCATGTATGGGATAAGCTTGGAAAACAAATTCAGTAAAGAAATCTTATCCCCGCTAATTTGTGAGATTTTAAAAAGGCATTACAGGAAGAATGGAATGCAATCTCTCAAGTTTATATGATATTACAAGATTATATAATTGATAACTTGATTAGGATTATGCCGAGAAAACTGGAAGCAATTGAAAGAACTAGGCCGGCAATACTAATTATTGATTATAGCCCATGTTATAGTCTTTCTTAAGCATTTATGAAAAAAGATAGTAAATTGTTAAGTACAAAAATGTTTCTTTTCTGTAAAATTTTTCTATTTTTCTTAATTTAGTTAATTTTTACCATTTGATCGGGTTTCTTTGAAGTTTGCAATTTTTAAATTAACGAATAATAAGCAAAATCAATCAAAAATTATACTCTTTTTTTAAATAACAAATTCTATTCTTTTCTTTAGTCATAGTTTATACATCTTGGCAGTAAAGTAGGAAATTTTTGAGAAAACAATAAAATCGATAAATGTTTAAAAAAAATCATTTCATGGCAGGTTGCGAGGAGACTACAAGTAATACCGCTTTTGTATGTATAAGAGGTTGATAGCAAATTTATCAAGGATCATTTCGTACCTGCACATTTTTCATGTATCGTGTACAATTTTCTTTAAAAATGGAAAAACCCGCGCTTCCCTTTCTGGGGCGCGGTGAGCCGGGGAAGTGACGCTCACCCGGGAGGGGAAGGGAGAGTGGATAAAATTTGACTTCGCTGTTTAACGTACATATGCCGATAGATAATAGACATATAATAGACATTAATATTGCCAATTCTTCCATACATTGCTAGCTAAAATGCTTCAAGTAACTTCAATTACGTTAACTACGATGTGTATGTATAAACCCGTACATTATTATATAAATATCGCCTTACTTTTGACTTTTTGACAATTGAAGATTTACTAATGCTCACTACGCTCACTTTTGCACTAGCCGCCACGCCAGTCTGTAAGACTACTCAATAGTATGCAGCACCATGCGTAGGTCAAGTTGACATTAAAAGCTAATATAAGTCTCTCCCCTTCAATTTTAAATCTTTCGTCTAATATACTTAATTTCTCTCACAGTATGTAATTAAACGTGTAATGACGGTGTAAGACTATCCACTAACCTATATCGTCCCGTGGGTATCGTAACAGGCAACAGAGAGAAACAAACCGATTCCAAATAGTAGTCGTGCAAGGAAGATAACTCATAGTACACGCAGGGCCTGATTTACCCACAGCCTAGCTAGGCTGAGGCCGAGGGTGCATGGTTCTAGGGGTTGCTGAGCTTGCCTTTGCGAGCACCACTTATATACAGAATAAAATTTAGTTTAATTTATAATATCTCTATATACAATTTTTAACAGTGGTAGAGCCACGCGGCAGCTTTTGCTATCGCACGGATGGGCCGGCTCGACCCGGGGTGGTACCACGACCTCACAGAAAACCAGCGTGAAGTAGAGGTTTACCTCTACGTTTCGCTTGGTGAATGCACGTGGCCGGAGGCCTTTTTTACTGGAAATGAGGCATTCCATCTTAGTCCTCACGGGTGACAACGCATCTACATTTTGATTTGTAATAGAGGATAGATGTAGATGTCTATGGGCCGCAGCAACCACTTACCATCAGGTGGACTGTGTGCTTGTTTGCCACCCCTATCCTATAAAAAAAATCAACTGCTGTCCGTTAGTCTCGCTAACACTCAAAAACGGCTCGACCAATTTTGTTGAAATTTTGTGTGTGTATGAATGGTTTAGATTT